CTCATCTACAGAAACATCATCATAGTTTTCTGAAAAGGGTTCAAGCAGTTCTGCTTCATCATGAAGGTTGGCGGGGTTTAGCTCTTCTTGGCTGTTGCAGATCAGAAACATGGATTTTCACACACAGAAAAAAACTAACCAACACTAATAACAGTAATTTTGTTTCATTCCATTTTGATTTCAAATAAAGTAGCATGTCACAGACTTCCAAAGATATCAGATATACTTAGAATTACAAATACTGATGTACATTTCAAATGTTGTGTATTGTGATTTATAAACTTACTGCTTGAGAGCAATTCCTATGCATATGATCTAGTCTTTTAGTATTTTCTTTACTAGGATGCTCGTTCTAAATAAAAACTTTCAGATACATCAGTAACATTTTTCTCTATTTTAAGAATACCAAATTTTGTGCATCATCTTTATTTCACAGTAATTTGACAGTGAAGTGTCTTCTAAATAAAGCACTGTAAGAAAACATCACTAGCACCTGTCTGTATTTTAAGGGGAGTTAAAACCATTAATGTTAATTGTCTTTTATTTGTCTGTTGTTTAAACTATCGTTTTCTCTTATTACCTTCTTTTTCCAGTTAAAACTGAGTTTAAATATTTTTTCACAGCCATTTGCTTTCTAAAACGGCTGTAGTTGTCAGTAAACACAGCATCAGAGTGGCGTTTTACAGGCATCTGTTCATCCAGGAGGTTGTTGCTTTTTAAACATAAAAGGAAATAGAAATTACTGCATGAATTCAATTTGAAAAGGTGAATATTTTAAAATAAACTATGCAAGTTTCTTCATGTTGTTTATCTAAATAACCATTCTCATTTCAATTATTGTTTACTGTTTCAAAACTCACGGAAACTCCATAATTTTATTTTCCTAAAAAAAAAAATGTGTTTAAGTAAATAGCATCATCCCTAATTTCCAGTCCATACAACTGAAATACAGAACATCCAGGTATTGCTAATCAGATGTTAAAAATCCACATAAACATAAATGCTTCTACCTAACATGTCTTACTAACCTAACTCGTTTTCCAATAAGTGATTCCAGATATTTTCTTGCAGAAAGTTGACCCAAGAGTTTGCTGTAGCCACTGGTGAAAAGTCCATCAGCATGTCGGGTATTTCTGAAATGGTTGAAAAAAGAAGTCCGCAGTAAAAACAATGCTCTTCATGTTAGATGTAACTGCATAGGAGAGGGCAGTATTTTAATTTTATAAGCATATTATTTTTTAAATAGTTTTATTCTTTTTTATATATTATATGAAAAACTTATTGTATTGAAATCCTTCAGGTTGGTCATTAAATGTTTTATTTTAGCCCATCTATGGACAGTCACAGTATTCCTGGCAGAATGGCCATATAATCAATAAAACATCTGCAGATGCCCCTACTGCTGATATTATGCATTATTTTTAGACTTCATTCTTTCTTTCACATATCTGAATCACTTGGAAAGTTTGTAGAGATAAGTTTGAGAAGAAGAGTTCCCAATGTTGGTGTCATTCAAGCAATGCATCATCATTTTCATTTAGGTCAGTAAAAATTCTCACCTATCCATAGCTCTGGATACATCCAAATAATATTTGTCATGTTCAGGCAGAGTATTTTGCAAAATGTCAGTTTCAGCTTTTAATGAACCTTGGGGTTGATCAGGTTCATTTGCTCCATCAAATGGCATTCTGTTTCCCAGTCTATTGGAGAAGAAAATATAGTGAGTAATTGTAAATTGAGGATATTTAGTACTATCGGTGTCAATGCAATTTGCATGCAGGCTTGTGTGTGTCAAAACATATACACATCTCCCATGGATTTTAAAGTAGGCTGGACAAAATGGTAGAAATACTTTTAAGGGAATTATCCTGCACTGTATGATGACACAGAGCCTGCCATAACAGTTCTCTGCATCTTAACTTATATGATCCTTGACTATATATAATATGATATTTTTTTATGTTCTCGTTAAACAAAATTTAATAACACCAGACAATCAATGATAAGTCAAGGAGTGACTGTAAATCTTTTAATGACAGCAATTGCAATGTGCAGTAGTATATGAATTATATAAATTATGAATGAAATTCCTCCCTGCACAATAGGACACTATAAGACCTATGCTCAACTTAGGTTCCATTAAAATTTAAATATATATATATTTAAATGCAATTGTAGTGGTATCAAGACTTCTGTGCACATTCTCTGTGGAGAAAATGAAATTTTACCCTGGAGAAGTGCAACTTAAATATGGGAGGTAATCATATATCTAAATACTAATTTTGTTCTTTTTTTGGTGGATTTTCTAATAAATTTTCACAACATCCCACTGATCATAATGAATTTTGTTTCATAATGTGCCTTAATCACTACTCTGTTCAAATCATATTCATATTCCAAATTTTCTCCCACAAACTTTTTTTTCCTTAATGCTGACAACATTCCTCCCACAACAGAGGCATACAAGATCTCACATATTATTGAGGAGAGCATAATTGCATTGCAGTGGTAGAATATTACTACTATATTCTATAGAAAGTGATAGTTTCCTGTTTCTATGAAAAACTACCATGTATCATGATGTAAAAATTCATGCGCAGGCTGAGGAAAGATTCATAGTATTGTATTGGCTTATTCATTATGTATTAATTATACCTACTGAACTACTCACATGAGTAATTCATGTATGATTTAACTGCATTCAGCCAGCATTCATATACATATATTTCATAAAACAAGCAGAAGTATTTAGATGTGAAATAAGCACATTCAATTAAGAAATTTAAAAATTAATGTGTGCGCTCTGTTCCTGTGCTATATTTCTTTGTATCAATCCCTACATATTTCTCAGGTAAATAAGGAAATTCAAATTATTGCAATTGATTTAATCTAATCTGGAAAATAATAAACATTTAAACAATTCAATGAATGTAATAAGTTGGGTTTTTTCAAAATGGGAAACGGAGGGGAAATATACATAGGTGGAGATTTCCTCTGCCTACTGAGTATCCTAATTCGTTGCACTTTGAATACCTTTAAGTTTGCTACATATCTGAAAAGAAGTGCTGGAACCAGTCCAGCTGTTTTGGTAGGGATGCTATCTAGAAGAGCTGAAACTTAATATTTTTGTTGGGCCAGTAGTCTCTACAAGAGCATACTTTAATCGGTGACTTTTTAAATATCCTACCATTTTTTTTGTTTGCAGTAATCATTTCCAAAGAGTTGTTGGAGGGGAAATTTTTGGTATGACCTTAAAATAATTTGGAAAGTAGTTAATCAACATCCACCAATGATATGAGTACTGGTTGAAAAAAGGACCACATTATTTACTGGTGTTCTTGAGCAGCATATGAAGAAGGGTGTTGCCTTCCTTAAACTCCCTTTAACTTTTACACTAATTTCAAAAATAAGTTGTTGTCCATATAATTTGTTCTAATGCTAAAAAGGTTTATCTTTATTGATGCTATTTCTACCACTGTTAGTGTATTCAATCATTATTAGTCACTTAATGTCATGTTGATTCAAGTCATAGGTACTGTCAAGTCTTAGACTGAGTTTAAACAACAAATACAGTAAACAGATATGCTAATGATTGTAACTAGTAAGTTTGTTCCCGTTACTCATTTGCAAATTCATATGGTAAAGAAGCAAGGTGCATTAACTAGAGGTTGCCTAAGCTAGAATAGAACTTACCTCATAGCTGAGAATGTCCCCAAAGGAGGTAATGTCAGTGCCCGTGAACAGAGAACGCTGAAGAGTGTAATGGACACAAGAAGCTGAGAGCTACTTCTATGTTCCATCTTTTTAGACCTGTGTTAGTGAATAGAAGACAGTAAAAACCTCCTATCACCACTGGTTTCCTATAAGAAATAAAGAGGACCATTTATGAGATACTTTTCTGGTTCTGTGAGGGATTTCATGAGTAAATTTCTACTATGGTGTATACTTTTTAACTCAACTTTATTGTGCCAAAATACTACCCCTTAAATTGTGATGAAATCTCTCTTATTTCTCTGGCCTGAAACTCAGACTAACAAAACTGCTTTATATCTGCCTTATAATTCCTGTTCTTAGATAAAGACAGAAGATAAAGAAGAGATGTTTTATTGAAAACCAGTAGCATTAGTGAAGAACATGGTGCCAACATAAATTTGTTTGATTCACAGAATGATGAAGTGACCTTGTTAATTACTAACATGGCTCCTCTAGTTTTGTGCTCTGTTAGGAAAACATAGTACTGGATTACTTGACTTGTAGTGTAATAACCAAAAAGTATGATGACAATCAAATATTTTGACATAGAGTCAAAGGTTCTTAGGCTACAGTTTCTAAATACCACCACAGAAGAGAAGTTTCCTTCATTTCAAGCAAGATAACATCAAAAGGAAACAAGTAGGAAGTGGAGAATGTCATGAAAAGAAGCATTAAATTAATTTAAATTTTAATGTTAATTTAAAAAGAGCATGCATTTTTTTGAGCTTGGAAATTGTCCTCAAGTGGACATTTTTTTAGAGTTCAATATCCCACCACTTCCCTCTTTACCCCTCTTTCATTCCAGAACAGAAAATAGCTGATTGAGTGAGAAAGAGAAATCGACTTGATTTAGATATCAGGGAAGTAAAGTAGGAAACAACTGGCTTTAAAAGGGACCGAAGTAACCAAGGTGTGACCATTGCAGGTAAGAGAGAAACCACTAACGTGCACCTGCCTGCAAGAGTATGGACAGACACGAGAGCAAGCCCAAGGTTCATTAAAATCTGAAACTGACAGTTTGCAAAATGCTCTGCCTGATCATAACTATCAACAAAATATTATACTTAGTTCTTTCTTTCACACATATTATTCATTCCTCACCCGGCAACAGAAAGTCAGCTAACTAGAGAATGCACCCGGGAAAGGGAGAAGGACTGCGAGCAAGATGGTTAGAGAAGGAAGGAATGCCTAGGCACTGGTAGCATCCCCACTTACTAGGTGTTCAGAAAGTTTTTAGAGCCTAGATGGTTTGCATTTCTCTTAGCAAGTGGGGCTTCCCCTCCACTGGAAGAAGAGTTTCAAAGGTTTTAAAGGAGGAAGGGAGAAAGCTACTCCCTTTGTTTACTCACAGCGCAGGGAGCCCGTGCTCTGCCTCTGGGAAGCGGGGAACTCTCCAAGGTGCTGAATCCCTGGCGGCGGCGGGGGTCGGACTGTGGACAGCCTGGGTGCGTGGCCGGGGCTCCCGCTGCTCTGGAGGTCTCCAGCCCTTCTTCTGAGGCTGATGCCTGCCCTCCCCTTCAGCACGCTCTGGCCAGCCCATCCAACCGCCTCATTTTATAGGGTTTATACATAGGAGCACGTTTCTGCTTCAGAAACAGCGATCACGTTACTTGAGAGACGTCACTATTCCCAAGGGGATGAATGGAAATCCGTGATCGCTTTGTCCAGGACACTCAGAGAGTGGGGAGAAGTTTATATTTAATTCATGGACAGCAGCGTCCCCTGTTTTTACGGATTTATATTAATGAGTGGTTTTTGCAGTGAATAAGACTGGCTTGACAGGGGACTTCCGTTTCTTAAAACAGGTGATGGCTTTGCACGTCCTGCCTTCGTTGAATTCAGGAGGGTTGCAAAGCAGAGGTGCACAGCAGGAACGGGGAGCTGTTGACAGGGCAGGGGGACGAGGTGGGAGGAAGGGGGACAGCGATTGCTGACATTCCCCCCCCCCCGAATTTCTGGTTAATCAGAGATGCTTCCGTCCAGCTCTGTGTCACAGGGGGTCCAAGTCACTGCTGTAAAAGTTTTGATGTAAACTAAAGGTCCCACTGAGCTTGCATAGAACTTGCATAGAGCTTGCATTGGTATTTGAAAGCAGTGCAGAGCCTTCAGGAGATGCTTCCACTTTTTTACACTAAATCCCGTTATGTCTATGTGTAATATATATGGACACACACACACACATATATGTATATACACGTTGCTTCCTGCTCCATAAAATGCACAACGGGATTTACAGTAAAAAAGTGAAAGCAGTGCACACACACACACACACACACACACACACATATCTGGTCACTTCTCACTGTTTAACTCGAAAGTATTAGGACCTGCCAAGCCTTTTTTTCCCAAGATCCTACTCTCACCCAGAAAGGAAGGAAGGAGAATATTTTTCATAGATAAATGTATTGAAGATCTATCTATCTGTCTATCTATCTATCTGTCTATCTATCTATCTATGCTCTAGGCTACAGCTGTGAATCACCATGCTTCACAGAGCTAGGAAGCATCCTACAGCTGGGCAGGCTTCCCATGTAAACCTCAATGGAAGGTTTTCAAGCACTGTATATGGATTAAAAGGGACATGGTTTGGTTTGGTTTTGTTGTTTTTAAACTTTCAGTCTGCCAAGTGATCACATTTCTGGGACAGTGAAATGTTTGCCATTAGCTTTCTTGTTTAAAATTGATTTGCTTACTCAGGCAAAGTCATCAGGGGGTTACAAGGTGTAAGAGAGGGGTGTTATAAACACTAAATGCAGAGAAAGGTAAGATCCTAAGCACCCTGAATTGAGGACAGGTGGATTCCTAAAATAAAGCCTCTCTGCTCCATTTAACTGAAAGGGAAAGTGCTCAGCAATGGAAAAGGTCATCTTTGTCCCTCCGTTGAATCCACAGCACTAAGAATGGAGCTGCTGCCATGAAAAGTAGCTAAGCCTTTAGTTTGATCAGAGTTCCCAACTTTTGCTGGAGCAGTTGACTTGCAGGGGGGGAAACAAAAAAACATTATGGCAGATTGCAATGAGCAAGGGCAGTTTGTATGCAATACTAGTTTAAGATTTTCACAACTGTGGAAATTTTCACATGTACTTGCTTTGCTTCTCTCATTTAAGATTTAAGTAATGAATTTCTCAAAAAAGCCACATCAAGACATTTGCAGTAGAAGACTGTTATCCAATTCTGCTTCAGCTTTCTTGGGCCTAGTCCTCCCCACCTCTGTCTACATCTAAAACAAGTATGCACTGTACCAAATCAGTGCAAGAGATTTCACCATTTCCTCTTATAATAAGTTTGTCATGCTTCTCCATTTCATGTATTACTAAGGTTGTACAGGCCCAACGGTGTATTATGTGATCCTTAATCACATCTTCTAATTCAATTGCATAAAAATTAAGTGAATTAAATTCAAAAACGCCTGGAAATTTGTTTCTCAGATGACAGCTGTGACTTAAACCAGAGTTCCTGCAGTGGCCTAATTCCAGGAAATTTTCCCCTTGTTGCTACATAACTGGAGGTCAGACAAGCAGTTCTGCTCTGGAATGGTAAGATGAGCATACATAACACTTTTCCACCTAAGTCTTCATATGTTTTTTCCTCCTCTTAACCACCACTCCCCAGTTTCAGCAAGTGGTGTGCTATCAGCTGGAGTTGGTAAGCTAAAAAAGACTTAAGAAAAGATGGTGCTGTAAATTATCATTGAAAGTAAAATAGAGGGTAAAAGTTTAAAAGCAGTAACTGATTAACTAAAAGAAAGGAAGTTGATGTGCTGGATTGTGAATTTACAAGGAAGATCCATCCAGTGTTGCCTAGCAATTTTGTACAAAGGCATGGGAGTGTAAAGGTTATGTTACACGGCTTCCTGGTCTTTGTCTAGCATATTCTCCGTGAAAAGAAAAATAAAGTTTTACAATTATTAGGTAGCAAAAGCATGCAACTTTGTTAGTTTCAGAAATGCTCCAACTCAAGCTGTGTGGAGAGAGCACCACCTAGATGCTAAAGCTCCTCACTGTGTGCTGCCTTAATGTAAAATTACTTGCCAGCAAAATCAGCATCAAAAGTGAATGTCCTTCCTCTCTTTTGTAAAGGATCCAGCTCAAAGATCACTTGGCTCTACAAGGAAGAGAAATACTTAGTCTAAATACAGAAAAAAAGTTTCTCATAAATTTGAGCAGAATATTGAGCAATGTTAGAAATCCTATCATTTAGGTCTTTTTCCCCAGACAAGCCTGAGCAAGGTTTGAAATTTGGCTTGTCTGGAAATGACCTCACCATCTCTTTATGTGCAACTAAATCTATACTTTGAATTAGAATGGCCAGCTATTTTGGGGGGTAGGAGGTTAGGAATTTCCTAGTTTATTGGTTACATTTAATTTTTTTAAATAAGAAACTTTTTGCCTGATACAGCTATTTCATATGTATAAAATGTGCTGAAACTACCAACCTAAAAATCTTACATTTTGTAGAAATGACCTTCCATTTTTTTTTCCATATTTATCACACCTTTCTGTAGGATCACAGGATCACAGGAATATAAGGCTGGAAGGGAGCTCAGGAGGTCATCTAATCCAGCCTCCGACGCAGGGCAGAATCATCCCTGAATAAACCATCCCAGCCAAGTGTCTGGCTTATCTTCTCCTCAAAACTTCCAAGGATGGAAATTATACAATTTCTCTAGGTAGTCTGTTCCAATGTTTGACCACCCTCACTGTCAGAAGGTTCTTCCTAATCTCCAACCTGTTTTTTTATGGGGATGATGGATGGACAAGAAAATAAAAAGGCGGGGAATACGTTTAGTAAGAAAAACAGTGCCATATCCTAGTCTTGATAAAAAGAACAAAAAAGAAAGAGAAAGATTTCAGGGCTTTCATATTACCTAAGAGAAAAAACACTTTTCCTGGTCATAAGCCCTATTTCAGGAAGTAGTCCTGGTGTATAGTGCCCTCAATGAGTGTGTTCACACATACTAAATTAACTTAAAATAAGGCAATTTAGCTAACTTGGCTTAAGTAAAGCCATGTCAGAGCATACACACATACAGCTCCTTGACATAGTGGCAGC